CCCTACGTCTTCGGTATCCGCTCAGCAGCCTGTGCCCTCGCCGCAGGAAACACAACAGTCCTCAAATCCTCCGAACTAACTCCCCGCTGCTATTGGGCCATTGGCCGCGCCTTCGAAGATGCCGGTCTCCCCGCCGGCTGTCTGAATATCATCCACTGCGCCCCGCAGGATGCCCCCGAGGTCGTCAATGCCATGATCGAGCACGAAGCCGTGCGCAAAATCAATTTCACCGGTAGCACAGCTGTTGGTCGGAAGATTGCACGCGCCTGCGGTCAGAACCTCAAGCCCTGTCTTATGGAGCTAGGCGGGAAAAATAGCTCGATTGTGTGTCAGGATGCCGATTTGCAGACTGCCGTGCAGGGAGTATTGGCGGGGGCGTTTTTAAATGTGAGTTCGAGATACATTGCGCATATCGCACATAGCATATATATACATATATATACCCATGTATACTTTCTCCAGGTTAATAGCTAACCCTATTTTGTGCGTGTTAGTCCGGCCAAATCTGCATGGCAACCGACCGAATCCTCGTCCACACCTCCATCCTCCCATCCTTCATAGAAGCCCTACAAAAGGCCCTCGCAGCCGGCGCAGCAGCCTCAGCCCTGCCCCCAACACTCGTCAACACAGCGTCCAAAACCCGTGTCGAATCCCTCATCGCCAACGCCATCTCAGCAGGCGCACACTTCATCTCCGGGTCTGCGGATAGTGTCCCCACAGACTCGGGGGTGCGGATGGCGCCCGCCGTTCTAGGCGGCGTGAAGGAAGACATGGCGCTGTGGCAGGAAGAGTCTTTCGCGTCCGTTGCGGCGTGTATGCCGTTCGACAGCGAGGACGAGGCGATCCGTCTTGCTAATGGGAGTGGGTATGGACTTTCGGCGTCTGTTTTCACGGAGGATCTGCGGAGAGGCTTGGCAATGGCTAGACGTATTCAATCTGGGTACGTTGTTGGGTGTTCTAGACCGAAATTCCGTTTTGGTTTTGGTTGGATGGATTACGTGGAGTTGTGGATCTATGCTGACTTTATTGCAGGGCGGTTCATATTAACAGTATGACGATCCATGATGAGCCGGCTCTTCCTCATGGCGGTGTGAAGAATAGTGGCTGGGGGAGATTTAATACTGATGAGGGATTGAATGAGTTTTTGGTTACGAAGAGTGTGACCTGGATGGATTAATCCTTTTTTTTCTCTCTCTCTTTTTTCTCTCTCTTTTTTTTCTTTTTTCTTTTTTGAATCTGGTATCGGTGTTTTGGTTTGGTTCTTATTTTGTAGTGCTGTTGAGGTGCATCTGTGGTGTAAGTATTTTCCTACCTGCTCCCCAGGGCCCACACTACCACATACTGGACCATGTGTATACCATATCCATCAGGCATATCTATTTTATGCCTATAGCCCACTTGTTTCGTCAGAAAGTCAGGTTGACGGTGCCTCTCGGCGTGAAGTTTCTCAGATCGCATTGACTCGAGCGACCGCAGTGGATATCTACAATATGGTGGTGAACCGTTGAGCTCACCCACACGGGTCGGTGCAAAACTGAGGATTCTCTCCATGTTTATAGTCTACAGAACCAGAACAAAGTCGGCATTTGAATTGAAATAATATCGGTGGACGCACGGTGCACAGATGAGGTCATCAGCCCCACTAAGGCAATTCCCATCCCCGGATTAGGTCAGCTCCACATTGTTCTTCCACCAATCAGAGACCACATGTTCCTCAGCCGGCAACTGGTTTTGCCTCTTTCTGGTCATTTCCAAGGTCCATGGGTTATTTGACATTTCAGAGAACGATTTGGATATCGAATCCGTATTATATACATACATATATGACATATATATATGCCTCGAATATACATATGTATCCATGAGTGAGGTTCAAATATTCAAATGTTAAAATGGTACTTTCTCCTCACGCGTCATGCCATGCAGAATGCGGAAGCTTCGGACACCGCAATTGTTATTCCGAGGTTCACACCTTTTTACTGCAAGGACCGAGGAACCCGGAATTCAAGGTCTGTTTCTCTTGTTTCTAGAAAACACCTGGAGTACTAGTAGTACGTTCTACTAATTCCATTGACATTTCCGATGTGCTTTCGGTCTTTTGGTCTATTCCCTTCCCCTCAACTCCTTGAAAAGTCTGGAATGTGACATGACGCAAATGCATGTGAAAATGAAAATGAAACATTCTAGACGGTTGAATCTAATAAGATGTATCTATGTAGTTGAATATTATATCACATGTGATAACTTACCCCAGACTGAATAATAATAATAAAAATGACAAACCAGAGGTGGGCAATTAGTATTACAGCGGGTACCCCCATCTTTCATCTCCCCACGTCTTCCATTCTTTCGTGCCTCGGCCGATAGACCGTCGGCTTCTGACCTGCCCCGAACCCTTTTTCTTTAAGATCCTCTCCTTCTCCTTTTTTCCTTCTTCCCCATATTTACCTTTATCTCTACACACAAAACATAATGGCTGCACCTCAAGTAATTGTGGTCGGTGGTGGCCGTAAGGATCCCCTTTCCCCGCATTCTCTCCGTTCCAGCTGACCCTCTCCAGTCTCTGGCCTCAGCGCCGCGCACACAATCTACCTCAACGGTGGCAATGTCCTCGTCTTGGATAAGCAGGCTTTCTTCGGTGGTAACTCTACCAAGGCCACCTCCGGTATCAACGGTGCTCTCACTCGCACCCAAATCGATCTCGGCATCCAGGACAGCGTCAAGCAGTTCTATGAAGATACCCTCAAGTCCGCCCGTGACAAGGCCCGTCCCGAGCTGATCAAGGTCCTGACCTACAAGTCCGCCTCCGCCGTTGAGTGGCTGCAGGATGTATTCAACCTCGACCTCACCCTCGTCTCCCGTCTCGGAGGACACACTCACCCCCGCACACACCGTGGCCATGATGCCAAGTTCCCCGGTATGGCCATCACCTACGCCCTGATGCAGCGATTGGAAGACCTCGCCGAAAATGAGCCCGGTCGTGTCCAGATCGTCAAGAAGGCCAACGTCACCTCCATCAACAAGTCGGGTAACAATGTCACCGGCGTTACCTACACCATCAACGGCGAGGAGAAGTCCGTCGACGGTGTCGTCGTTCTCGCTACCGGTGGTTACGCCGCTGACTTCAGTGACACCTCCCTCCTCAAAAAGCACCGCCCCGACACCTTCGGTCTGTCCTCCACCAACGGCACCCACGCTACCGGTGACGGCCAGAAGATGCTGATGGCCATCGGTGCCAACGGCATCGACATGGACAAGGTCCAGGTCCACCCCACCGGTCTCGTCGACCCCAAGGACCCAGGCGCCAAGTTCAAGTTCCTTGCCGCTGAAGCCCTCCGCGGTGAGGGTGGTCTCCTCCTCAACGCCGACGGCCAGCGCTTCTCCGACGAGCTCGGCCACCGCGACTACGTCTCCGGCAAGATGTGGGAAGAGAAGGAGAAGGGCAAGTGGCCCATCCGTCTCATCCTCAACAGCAAAGCCTCCAAGGTGCTGGACTTCCACACACGTCACTACTCCGGCCGCGGCTTGATGAAGAAGATGACCGGTGCCGAGCTCGTTGCCGAAATCGGCTGCGGCGAAGCAGCCCTCAAGAAGACCTTCGACGAGTACAACCTCATCGCCGACGGCAAGAAGAAGGACCCCTGGAACAAGCGATTCTTCCACAACATGCCCTTCAAGCTCGACGACGAGTTCCACGTCTCTCTCATGGAACCCGTCCTCCACTTCACCATGGGCGGAATTGAGATCGACGAGCACGCCCAGGTCCTCAACAGCGAACAAAAGCCCTTCGACGGCCTCTACGCCTGTGGTGAACTCGCCGGTGGCGTCCACGGCGCCAACCGTCTCGGCGGTTCCTCCCTCCTCGGCTGTGTCGTCTACGGCCGTGTCGCTGGTGACTCTGCCTCCCAGCACCTCTTCCAGAAACTCATTACCAACGGCTCCTCCACCGCCGCCTCCCAGCGTCTCAGTCAGATCTCCCTCCACATCGACCCCAACACTCCCGGCAAGGTCTCTGTTGAATGGGGCAGTGCCGCTACCGGCGGAAACCTACCTGCTCTCGCTCCCCTCGCTGCCCCTGCTCCCGGCGCCGAGGCACCCGCCTCCAAGCCTGATCCCGCGACCTTCACGATTCCAGAGACGGAGTACTCCATGGAAGAAGTCGCCAAGCACAACTCCAAGGAGGACCTCTGGGTTGTGGTCAAGGGCATCATCCTTGATCTCACTAACTGGGTCGATGAGCACCCCGGTGGCGCAAACGCCCTGTACAACTTCATGGGTCGTGATGCTACCGAGGAGTTCGCTATGCTCCACGACGATGAGGTTATCCCTAAGTATGCCGCTCAGACTGTGATCGGTCGTGTCAAGGGCCAAACCCCTAGCTTGGAGCTGTAGAGGTTATATCAAATGCCTTCTCCTTTTGCCTCTTCTCCTTGATGACCGCCCTCCTCCCTCGATGAAATATGATCCCTCCAGCGTGTGATCTCTCATACCCCCGTTTCGTCTCTTTCTGCTGTTTCTCGTGCTGGGTTTGGCACGCTCGCTTCTTCCAGGACTCGGGATCTAAGATCCGAATGGATCAACTTTGGTTCTTGTGTAACATACATAAATGGCTTATTTTGGAATATATTCTTTTGAATCTTATATCGATTATGGATTTGATGTAGCTGTAGCTGTAGTTATAGTTGTAGTCGTCGCTGTGGGAAGTTATTTGATCCCTCCGTTCTAGAGCTTGGAGGGTCGCGCCTTGAAAGCCCTAGTACACCCAAACACCTAGCGAATCCTGAATGCCGATAATCACCGAGGTACGGTGCCAATAAGAATTATTTGTACAATCAGCCAAATAATCACTCCCTGCTACCTCGTATATATACGTGTCTAGCCTCATATTTGCATACATGTACATAATATATCAAAAACCAAAAGCCCTACTACTACAAGAGCACGTACAACCTAGCCCCAAGCCTCCTATGTACTCCGCAATGTAAATCCTAATACGGAAATCACCCCTTCATATGCATCAAAATCATCTTCAACCTCCTCACAGCAGGCCCATCCTCCCCGGCCCCCAATCCCTCAGCCCCCTTCTCCTCAATCTCCGCCCTCGCCTCCTCAAGCACAGGCTGCAAATATCCCCATACTTCATCATGATACCTCTCCTGAACACCAATCCAATCACCCGCACCAGGGAGATTTGTCAACACAACATCGCGGAGCGAAGTAGAAGTCGAAGTAGAACCCGTAGCCATAGCATTCCCCTCCCCAATCCCCATTCCAATCCTACTCCCAGCCCCAACCCCCTGGCTCAAAAAGACATCAATATCAGTCTCCTGAACACCAACCCAATCACTCCCACCAGGAATATTCCTCAAAACAGCATCGCGGATTGAAGTAGGAATGGAACCAGAACCAGAACTCGTAGCCATAGCCATCGCATTCCCCTCCCTAGTCCCAGTCCCACTTCCACTTCCAATACCGCTCTCAGCCCCAAGCCCCTGACTCAAAAAAACATCAATATCAGGAATAAGACTCGCACTCGTTAACCGCCCATTCCCCTCTCTTTCCTTATTCTCCTCCACATCCAACCTCAACCCCCTCCGAAAAGAATCAAGCATCTCCTTCTCCGCGGCAGAAAGCGGAGCCGGTGCAGCGGCAATATCAATCTCGGTATCGGGTACAGTCGTCGGATCCTCGAAATTCGGGTCAAAGGTTATATTAGATAACAACGACACAACGGCCGCGCCGTCTGTAGCCGAGGTATCCGTTGTCTGCGGGGTTTGTTGATCGTGCCATTGCCGCTGCCAGACAGTTTCGAATTGGTGTTGGTTTGGATCGTGGGCGCGGGCTTTGCCTTTCCAGGTTGAAGAGGGGGCTTGGAGGTCTTGGGATTGAAATTGGGATTGGTTTGTATTTGTAGTTGTGGTTGCGCGTAGCTGATCCGCCGCTGTGTTGTCTGCTATTCCTATCCCATCATATCCGTATGCGTATGCATTTCCCTGGAACTCGTCTTCTGTCAAGGCGGGTAGAGCGAATCCACCCGGTGTTGATGTAGATGTATCGTGTTCGCGGAAGGAATGCGCTGCATACGCAGATCCGGGCCCGGTACCTGAGCCGGGAGCTCCATGCGGTGTGGTCTTTGCGGATAGATCCCTGCTTGTTTGTGTATTCGGGAGGGAGGATGGACCGGCTGGTTTGCTGCTCGTGCTTGATGCTAGAGTGTTGGCTAGGTCGGAGCTCGGTTGGAATGCGCTTTTTGCTAAGCCTGTTGCTGAGGTTTGGATACGGGATGCTAGTGAGGGTGCGGGGGGCGCGGAAGTGGAAGGGGGTTTGGCGGAGGGGGTGTTTGAGGTTGAGGCCGAGGGTGATGGGGCCGGAGCCGGAGCCGGGGTGTTGGAGTTGGGGTTGGGATTGCCCCGCATGTTCTCTTGGTTGGTCATGGGCTTAGATCTTTGGATTTTGGGTTTGTGATTGGGGGTTATGAGGCTGAGGTGTAGGGAATAAGGGTTTAGATTGAGGATGAGATGTAGGGATTGGGATTCGGAGATGGACGCTCTTCCAAGGTTGTCGGCTTGAGGTTCGGCTTGGTATTCGGCTTAATATGCCTGGGCCGGATGATGCAGGGAAGCATGTGAAGGTTGACAGGGGTGAAGTATATGGTATGATACGGGCTGGAATAGGAAAGATAGTATGTTGTATAGTTAATACGGTATCTGGATATTATTTTTAGTTATAAAATCTAAAGAATTACACCCATTTGGAAATATGAGAGAGCTCGGCATTCAGTTAAATATATTAAATATACTAAATATATTGCAGAACTAAACTCTTATGGAATTCTCAACAGTCTATTCTATGGATGCTCCGGATTTGAATGAATACCTGAATACCCCCAATTGCCTTTCTTGATTCCTCTACTAGATAGTATATGATATATGCCAATGCTTAATTTGGCGGAGACCTGCTTGGGCCTCAAGAATGACGACAGAGGCGCATAGTACTGTTTCGGGCATATAGATTGAATACCGATTTAAAAAGAGGCAGATCCAATTCAATCCAAGTAAATAGGTATATAACGGTTGCAATATTTCAATTGCTATTCCAACCTTAACCGCCCAGCTGTAGTCATATACGGGTTACAAGGCCGGGAGAGGGGCGCGAAGGGCGCAAAGGGCAATGTTACAGTCGTTGGCAGTGTTGATGTCAGCATGTTGCAGGTGCCCGACTTGAATTCTTTTGATGTACAACATAGAATATTCAATCTCAGTTGGAATCAAATTTATTATTTTTTTTTGTTTCATATTCTCTAGAGAAATAACTAAAATCTCTCTAATATTGACGGTGCCCATAAAACTTGTCACCACAGTTGGTACTCCGTAACTCCCCACCACCGCCTCAACTCATCTGGGCAACTTCAACCTCACAACTCTTTTCCTTGTCTTCCTTCATCGCCTCCGGACCAAGTACGCAACCCCATCCTCTTTACCGTTTTATGTTTTTGGAGCTTACTCTAACGAAAGACCCTTCTTCAACAGAAACTTTTCTCATATGACCCCCTCTCAAGCTCTGCTGCGGGTCCACTCATAACAAGCACATTCACTGTGTTCTATCATCAAGCTACGTTGCCATCTCATTCGGCAACAGCTCTTCATTCCTCAGCTCGTCTTTCCAACTTGGATCGTTCATAGCTGTTTCCCCCCCTCCTCTTGCCCCTCTTTTCGCTTTACCGCTATCCGCCAAACCCCTCGCACACCATCTCCGGTGACCGACTGTTCTCTCAATTTCCGATTTCTCCAATCGTTATTCTCATCCGACCGAATTCTTTCGTGTCGGTTATCGCGCCTACTTCGCTCCAACCTAAGTGATTTTTGCATCGACAATAGAGCTCTTACGAGGCATTTGCCAACCCGCCTTTCCCGTCCCTCCTATCTTGGTCCTTGCCCTTGTCGCGTTCAAGGGCTAGCTAGAACGTGAAAATGGTAGACAGAGATCCAGGCACACCTACCTGGAAGTTTACACAGTAAGTTCGCCCCGGATCACGCCTTTCGGACTTTCCCACCTGTGATTTCCATTTTTCTCTTTCTTCTGGCCAGGCGCCATCGACCCAACGTCACCACAAAGAGTCATTCAATGGCGACTAACTTCATTTCAGATGCTTCGGCGATAAAGGCGATGTAGAAGATATTACAGAAGGTAATTGGCAGCCTCCCTCGCACTACTCGGCCGAATCTGGTCAATCTCCACAGAGTGCATCGACTGACAAGCGCTCTGCAGCGGACATCATCTCGACCGTCGAATTTGACCACACCGGTAACTATCTGGCCACTGGTGATAAGGGAGGAAGGGTGGTGTTGTTCGAGCGAAATGAGACGGTAGCCCACCCCCTCCGGTCTTTTTCAATTTTTCTCTTCTTCTTTTGCCTTGAGCTAATCACGGAACAACACAGAAAAAAACCTGCGAGTATAAGTTTCACACAGAGTTCCAGTCACACGAGCCAGAGTTCGATTATCTCAAGTCGCTAGAGATCGAAGAGAAGATCAACAAGATAAAATGGTGCCGACGACAGAATGCATCCCATTTCCTCCTTTCGACGAACGACAAGACGATAAAGCTTTGGAAGGTCTTCGACAAGTCGCTGAAAGTGGTCGCCGAGAACAACTTATCGAATGAACTCACTCCTGCGAACCCGGTTGGGGGTGGAGGTATGGCTCGCGCACCCCGCGTATCCTTCAAGGACCCCTCTGCGCTCAAGCTGCCTCGTCTGACACACCATGACACTGTTGTTGCTGCTGTTCCGCGGAGAACATACGCCAACGCTCACGCGTATCATATAAATAGCATCTCCGTTAACAGCGACGGTGAAACCTTTATCAGCAGTGACGACCTGCGAGTGAACCTATGGAACCTCAACATCCAGGACCAGAGCTTCAACATCGTGGATATCAAGCCAGCGAATATGGAGGAACTCACAGAAGTCATCACTGCGGCCGAGTTCCACCCGGTCAGCTGTAACTGGTTCATGTATGCCAGCTCCAAGGGCACAATCAAGCTTGCAGATATGCGACAACGGGCGTTATGTGACGAACACGCCAAGCGTACGTACAACGAGGGAATCGTGCCAATTACACGTACTGACTATTTTATGCAGAGTTCGAACAAGAAGAGGATGCCTCGTCCCGTTCCTTCTTCTCCGAGATCATCTCCTCCATCTCCGACGTGCGATTCTCCAACGACGGGCGGTACATTGTGTCCAGGGACTACTTGACAGTGAAGATTTGGGATGTCAACATGGAACGCCAGCCAATCAAGACCATCCCCATCCACGAGCACCTGCGCCCTCGCCTCTGCGATACGTACGAGAACGATAGCATCTTCGACAAGTTCGAGGTGGTCTTCTCTGGCGACGCGGAGAACGTTATGACCGGCAGCTACAACAACAACTTCATGATCTACCCCACACAAGAAGAAAAGGATACGGAGATTGTGCTCCAGGCAGACAAGTCGGCATTCAAGGCAAAGAAGGTTGGTGTACCGACGCCGATGAGCAAAGGTAGCGGAAAGAAGGCCGGTTCTCGATCCGGCAGCCCTGCCGGCCCCGGAAGTCGCATGAAGAAGGAGACCGATGCGGATCAGATCGACTTCAACAAGAAGATCTTACACATGAGCTGGCATCCATTCGAAGACAGCATTGCAATTGCGGCGACAAACAATGTAAGTCTTGTGTATCCATTCAACCCCTAACAATACTAATTGTGAATACAGCTCTTTGTATTTTCCGCTCTTTAATCGCACCAAGTACCTTCGTACCATCACAAGGCCATTATCATTTTCCATGAACAGGCGCATCTGGGGTTTGGATCGGGTGGCTAGAGGGCCTGTGTGAACAGGCAAGATATGAAGAATGAAAACCAGAAAATAATGATAGCAGCAAGCCACAGGTTCCATAATCACAGGACTTTCCCCTTCTCCCCCCTCCCAATTCCCTATCTCCGCTCTCATTGTGGAACTCATCTGTCTGAGTTTTGGAGACCTAGTTTTTCTTTACCTATGTCCCCTTTTACTCTTTTCCTGCGATTGCGGTGGGGCTGCCAAAGGAGTTGTATGGTGGTCAACTCATGATAGAGAATGTCATGCCTGTTTTGAGGCCCTTTCCATAGTTACTGAAAGACTATAGGTTTGGTAGCTGACTAGTATTGAGATATTAGATGTCCTTTTTTAGTTCCAGTAGAACAGTATAATTTTACGGTTTAGGCGTTTCCCCTGCTTTATCTGTTACTTTCTCTCAATATATAGGAGAAAAGACATCAAGAAATGTGCCTCGAAAATGTATCTTCTAAAAAGGGACCTTGGAAAAAGATGCCGAAGAGGCCACTCAACCGGCCGTTGTTAGCCAGCCCTTACCCTCCGCCCCTTTCCGAGGCATGACAAGCGAGAGGCACCCCAAGCCTTCAAAATGAGCCTTGATATGCAGATTGATACAGAAGATAGGCTATACAATGAACAATAAGCTACAGGTCTATTGAAACCATCCACCTCCATTCATGACTCATGCTATTCACGTTTATTCTCCTGTTCCCTTAATGCCTGTCATGTTTTTCTGCCGGCAATGGCGGGCGATGACGAAGGCGGACTGAAATTGACCTATCGCACAATACAACACATGACCAATGTACCGCCTCTCATTGACGGAAATCCCGCTAATATATACAAACAATACCGTAATAAATGAATTCTGAATACACTTCGGATAATCAAATGTCCGAAGAGTATCCACTAAGCCATAATAGGTTAGCCCGGGGAGGAAAGCCTCCACAGGAGCCCGCGATCGGTCGCGCGCAATTCCATCACCCCAGTCTGTGTCTCCTTCTTGTCTATCGTACTTCTACTTCTCTACCGGTTCTTTCTTGCTGCGTGGAGTCGGTTTCTGTCTTCTTATCTGCAAGATTCCAGGTCATGCTGTGACCCTAGTGCAACCTGAGCGTTGCCAGTCGATTCCAACCCACGAGACTACGAGCTCCAGCTCTTCGATTACCAGACCCTGACTTTTTCTCCCCTCCTCGACCCTTCTTATTCGTCAAATCTACCTCCCTACTTCTCTCCTACTGGGGTTCGTGCATACACCATGAACTCTGGAAACGATAACTGGCACTCCTCCGGTGGGCCGCCGTCGCATCCTGGCATTGATCAAATGAACCAGCAGCCTCGGCCCCTGGGGTCATTCAGGTACGAGCAGCCGTATATAGTACAAACGGCTTGATGCCTTGATATCGGAGACTAACACGATGGTCTTGCGCTTCAACAGTCAAAATCCCTCCCAGCAAGCTCAGGCCTCACAGCCCTCGGGCCCAGTACTTCCCCCTCCAGGTGGTGAGTGCCTCTTCATGAACTACAGATTTCCATGTGGAAATCCAATGATAAATACATGTTTAAACTAACTGAT